TTAAAATATTTAAAACATTAATTAAAATTAATTATTTATTATAAATTCATACTTTTAAATATAAAAATGAGTGATATATTATTTTTTTCAATACACCCATTAATATCTATTAGTTCAGCTATTAAATTTGAAATTAAGGATTTTTATTCTTTAAATTTAAAAATAATAATTTTTAAATGAACATATTAAAGAATATTAAATTAAAAACTATATCAATTATTATTCTTTTAAATAATATACTATCAAAGAAAATGCTGTAGGCTACACTCCCACAAGAAGCCGAAATTAAATAGAAAGTACTATAGTAGTATTTAATATAAAAATATTATAATTACAATACTACATGATATTATAAATTTATAATATAATGTGTTATTACAAAATTGATTATTTTCATTTAAAATCCACTTATAATACTATGTACAACTACTCATTTAACATTACATTATATATATATATATTTGGTATTAACCTCTCGTTAACCGATAACTACATTAAATCTCGATTAATTCAGAATCGATCTGCGTCAGACCTTATTAGGAGAAAAGTTCTTCTAGCGTCTGTTTCTCTATTCACAAGACTTGAATTCGAAATTTTATTTAAGGAAAATCGAACACATTTTATTCGAACCAATAAATCGTTGATAACATTATATTATATTTATTTAATATCATATTATAATTATAAATTTATAATTTTATGTCATATTAAAACTATGGCATTGTCAATATTAAAAATATGCGCTTATGCTCTCAACAAAGGAAATACAAAAACATTTTACATAAAAAAAAAAAAAAAGGAAATACAAACATAGGCCGACAAACAATTGATGTTTCGGCCTTAAGTAGGGCATCGAATTTACTCCTGGTCTGGGCTTTCACTCCTGCTGGGCCCAATTGTGTTTCGTCTGCAAATCCTAAGGTCCACTAATGGAGGAAAAAAGAACCCAAACTTATGCCAGCTCTTCGCCTTAACCCAGACCTAAACGCTGCAAAGAAACCGTGAAGCGGCGAATCTGTAAAGGAAGCCATGACTACGAAGGAGGGACAGAGCAGGAAACGGAAGAGGGCAAGACGACACCGGGAACCGCCGCAGTCGACACACACGACGGAGCATAAACGAGAAACCCATCAACGAGAACATGCTCGCCAATCCTCTGCTTCTGCAATGCCACCCAAATCCTCTTCTTCTTCTTCTTCTTCTTCCTCTTTTCTCGACAAGGTGTCTCTCTCTTTGCGTTTATATTTATGTACAGAATTACAGATACATGATTCCTGAAGCCTTGGATGTGGATGTGCAGATTAAAGCCAAGTTAGCTGGAGGACACTTCAGGATGATCAATGAAAAGCTCTACACTTGCACGTAATTCCATCTTTCCCCCTTCTTCTTTCATGGTTTTACTTATTATTGTTTCACTATCCCTCTCTGGTTTTTGCTAAAGAAGTAAAAGAAAAGTGAGAAATTTGGGGTCAATTATATTTCTTGATTATGAAGATTGAACTCAGTTGAGCTCCTAAACTCCAATGAAATGTGTGGTATTGTTATATAGTTGATTTCTTGAAATTTTTCAGTTTTTTCATAATAATACCCTTTTTTTTTTTTTTTTATTTGGATTATTGTAAGTTTATGTTCCCACTTATGGCATATTGGGTAAATTTTATTTGTGAAACTAGTGCCTGATTTCTTGAATATAGTTCAACTCCTTTCTTCTTTTTCAAAGGGGTGAAGAAGCACTCAAATATTTCAAGGAAGACCCTGCATTATTTGATATGGTGAGACTTAAATCAAACCTGATTCTGATATTCTTTAATATGACTTCTATATACTTATAGATTCACTGTATTTTCCTATCTGTTGCTTTACTTGAGAGAAAGGTCGATAATTGGTATTTATATTATTGAACGCATAATCAGTATCAAAATAAATTTCTTCCTGATATCACTCAAAGTTGTCTTCTTCTTCTTTTATAGTTGTAGTTCGATTCATAATACCTATGGTGCTAAAAATGTTTGAAACTTTTGAATATTAGAATGATCTAGATGCATGTGGACTTATTTTTTTCACCCACCTGGCCAGTATCATACAGGATATCAAGAGCAAATGTCACATTGGCCGGAGCAACCAGTCAATATTATCATAAAATGGCTACAGGATCATAACCCTCGTTTAACTGTGGCGGATTTTGGCTGTGGTTAGATTTTGCGGAACTACTTTTTATTTTTTATTTTCATTCAGTGTCACAATGATAAAATAAGGATATTTATTCATGACCAAACACGTGATATCTGAGAGATCTCCATTTGCTATTTGTTAATTACATCTTGCTCGTTTGTGTTCCAGGAGATGCACGCCTTGCAAAAAATGTGAAGAATAAAGTTTTCTCTATTGATCTTGTTGCACATGATCCTTCAGTAATTGCCTGCGATATGTCAAATGTACGTGGTTCTGTTAAAAATGCTTTCTAAGGTTTTAACAAGTAATAATAATGTGCAAGTAAGTAGTTAAGTAAATAGGGGCAAGTCGTTGGGGGAGTTTCTAATACTATTAATAAGCAGATGACAAGTCTAGTGGATTTGTTCTTCTTTTTCTCCTTCTCTAACTTAATCTCAAGTAAGACATGCTTGTTTTCAATTATAAATTCAGATAATTAGGTTTGTAAGATCAAAATGTTGAAACCACGAGGAATCCATGGAATTCATAGATAGACATTTGTTTAGTGCATTTTGTATCCTTACAATTTGTTCTTGCCATACTGCCAGACACCCCTTGACGCTGCCTCAGTAGATGTTGCAGTCTTCTCTCTTTCATTGATGGGGACTAACTTCTCTAGTTACCTTAAGGAGGCACACAGAGTTCTCAAACCAAGGTGGCCAGAGCTTCATTTTGTATCAAGCCTTTATGTCACCATTCTTTTCTTGGTTAAATTATCTGACCTT